ACAGACAAAAAGTGTGTCAGTTTCAAACTGACAGAGGTACTGAATTTATGTCAACTAAATTCCAACAATGGTTGGGGCAGTTGGGGATAAGACACAGACGTACAAATCCTTACACAGCAGCAGAGCACGGTGTAACTGAAAGAAGGAATGGTGTTTTGCAAACAATGAAAGATTCATTATTAGAGAATTCTGGTATGAGCAGGTCATATTGGGGAGAAGCCATATTGACTGCAAATTATATAGTTTACAGGCTGTGGAGTTCCTCCATTAATAATACTCCATATGCCATTCTATATGGGAGAAAGCCATCACTGGCACATTTGAGAATTTTTGGAAGTACTGCATGGGTACATATTCCGAAAGCAATGAGAAGAAAGGGACAGCAAAAGGCAAGAAAGCTCAGGTTTGTGGGCTATGAGCCAGGGTCAAAAGGATATCGCTTTAGCTATGGAAGTAAAAGAACTGTAATTTCAAGGTCTGTTAATTTTGCAGAACAAAATTGGGACAGAATTAATGCAAATTCTGGGTATGTCTCACTTAATGACAGTGATCTATTTAATGACAATAACTCATCTAATGATGGAAAAATGATTATTGAAGATGTCAATGTTCAGGAAGGAAAGGCTGAACAAGACATGAAACCAGAAAGAATTGAGACACAGGAGCAGTTAATACCACGTAGGTCAGAGCGATGTAACAAAGGAATTCCACCTGATAGGTATTCTGCCAGCAAGGTAAAGGTTTGCAATGTGTGGTATGAGCCAAGAAGTTATAAAGAGGTGTTGGCATTACCAAAAGCTGAACAAGAAAGATGGAAGGAGGCCATGGATAAAGAGATGAAATCCATGGGAGACCATGAAGTATTTAAATCAGTGACTTTGCCACAGGGAACCAAAGCTGTGGGTTGTAAGTGGGTATATAAGAAAAAGGTATTGCCAAATAATGATGTACAGTTGTTGCAAGATTTAAATATTAATGTAAAAGAATCTGTAAAGGTATTTGAAGACAATGCTGCCTGTATAAAAATGGCAACTGGTGACAGGGTGAAGAACAGAAGTAAACATGTAGACATTAAGTATTGTAATGTCAGGGAAGCTGTAAAAGGAAAATTGATTAGTTTACATCATTGTTCTTCTGAGGATAATTTGGCAGACATGATGACTAAACCATTGGGTAATGTTCACTATGGAGAATGTATTAAATCAATAGGTCTGATGTCTCTTCCTGTCATGAAGGGAGGAGTGTTGGAATATTCATGAGCAGGAAGAGTCATGTGGTAACTCAGTCAGCCAATGTGAAGAAAGTGCTACTGTGTGCAAAAGGGTATTGAGTTAGAAGCTGAATTTTCAGTCTCAGGTCTGTCTCTGTATCTCTCTGGAAGAAGTCTTCATTTGTGCTATGTTGCTGTAAAGAAGAATGTATGGTATTGTAAATATTTTTATATAAATATAAAGAAGTTATTTTGAATCAGCTAAATGCAGTCAACTGTGAGAGCTTCTGATTTATTTTTTCACCAAGAGAGAAATTAAAATTCTGTAACAAAAGCCCTGGTCTAGAAAACCAAAATTCTCTTGACAACACAAGTTTTTAAGCCAGTGGTTCATTTCTAAAATCCTTTGCTCCCTCATTGGATGTTGGCCTTTTATTGGAAGTATAGGTGAAAACACCACTTGTCCTCCTAATTCTTTAACTTCTTTTCCTCACTGTTCATAGGGATAGGCAACATTTTTGCTCCTGAGAATTATTAACAGTGGAAAATAGGAAAGGTGCATGCAGGTGATGAATGTGACTTGGACTTCCCTCTTTCTCTCACTTTGAATGGATAATTTATCAAATTTATTACTCTGTAGAAATTCTATGTTGCCTTTTATATGCTTTGCTTTTGTATTAGAAAATATTACATATTAGAAATGTATAAACAGACTTTCTAGTAAACATCAGGGCAGAGATTTAAAAAAAAATCAATCTATCATTTAACCTGGTAAAAGTAGCATAAGAAACACAGTATGTTCTAGTGGTGATTTGATGGTTTTCCAAAAATAAATCTTCTGTGACAGAAAATGATTTCTGTCCCTACAATTATCCACAAACCATTTCCTGCCCAGGAGGTTTATTTCCAGAAAACAACCAGATAATTTCTACAATGACTCTTTGCCTCCCATCACAAATCAGCTCTACACTGATTATCCGTGAGACTTTGTCTCAGTGAGTCTCCATGCTGTCCCTAATACTGCTAAACTGGCAGAAAAGAGCCTAATCTTTTTCGTGCTGTTTTATTTATAATTTGTTTTCATTTATATGATTTATATAGTTGCCCATCTCACATAAGTGATTCTGAGCAGCTTACAAGATTATAAAACTCTAAGGTGACCAACTTTTTTACAATGAAAAGGAGGACACAAATAAATTGAAGAAAAAAATATCGTAAATAAAAGAAACATTTTATTCATTGCAACAATAATATAGAATACACTATAATATGATAAATGCATAATAAAAAACATTTGTAACAATAACATTTTATATTGTAATTATGCTTACATGCCGTGCCCCCACCCGCAGCCGCCACGCCAGCACTGCTGCCCCACCATGTAGAGCGGGCCTCGCGGCTCCCAAAGCACCAACAGCCTGCCATCGACACACGCCGCCTGCAGCCTCTCCACCAGCACCACCAGCCACCCTGCACAGCCCCGTGTAGCCCCGTGTACAGCAGGCCCCGTGGCTCTCACAGCACAGGGGGCAGCCAGCACCGCCGCCCCTCACACCCCTGCCCGCAGCAGCCCCACTGCCCCTGCCTCTTGCGCCCATAGCCATTATTGCCCTAGCAGGGCCGAAAATCAAGAGAAAGTTACCGTGGCATTGCCACTCCAGTCTCCTCCAGGTATCTTTGGGACTAACTAGGAGATGGTGTAGTTGGGTAGTAGGGAGGGGTGCAAAGTTCCTGCCAATTCGCCTTCACTGCAGACAACTTACATGTGCAAAATTTGCCGGCTGGGTGTTTTGGCGCACTCAGCAGCAATTCCTATTGGCTTTCAAGGGGGAGTAGCACAGCTCATGCAAAAGTTGAAAACCCCCCATCAAAAACAGGTACCAGAACACCGTTCTGAGTGTTCTATGAGAAAAAAAAGCCCTGCAGATTAGTCTTCAAATATCAAAAAGGAGGGCATGTAGGAGGACACTTTTCGAGGGAGGACAGAACTTTAAAAAGGAGGACTGTCCTCCCTAAAGGAGGACAGTTGGTCACCTTACAGCAAATACAATCCCTGGAACCCAAGAATAAACAGTCATCACGCCCATTATCAATAGTGACATAGTTTATCTATCCACCTGACCCAAGTGCCTGGATCAGGCAACCAGGTCTCCAATGCCTATGTCCTCATATTGTATCTGTTGTATCTGGCTACTTTTTGTTTAGTGTATTGGTATGCTGAAGTGCTATAACTATGTTCCTTTTCAATAAATATAATGTGATGGAAAATCCACTGGAAAATCTAATGGTCTAGCCATCTGAAGAAATTGTCTCCTCCACAGCCCATGTTAAAGAGAAAAATTGGCAGATTTTTTTCTTTTTTCTCAGTTGGTGATACTTAGCAGAGTACAACAAAACTGAGAGAATCCATCAATCTTTGTCATTAAATGTACAATATACATTGTAGATAACACATTTGCAATCATGCTTGTGGCAGGATTGGGGTAACAAATTTAATATTAGTATAATTTTTGCCTGGCATAGGGATGGTAGACAGCAGATCTATAGATTTCCCTTTTGCTCTGCAATATCTCTGAGAGGAAAGAAATGGACCACAATATTTATTTATTTAAAACAGTTGTATTCTACCTATTTCTTCATTCTAGGCATCAACCATTGTAAAAACAGAAAACAGAAGAAAAAACATTACTGCTTTTGATATTTCTATCTTAAATGAATAGACATTTTTCATTAATGATTCCAAAATAAGTTTTTGGTTATGCAAAAAAGCCCAAAAACTTATTTTGGAACCATTAATGAAAAATGTACCATGTTGAAGTGACAAATTCAACATGGTACATAAATCAGGCATCATTCTTTAATAAGCACACATATATAAATAATCACTATCACTGTATGGTAGCTCATTAAAGTCTATAATTTAATTCAGACTGATCTAGGCAAAATGCTTAATTGAAAACAATACTTATTTCCAAGTGGTCATGTATAAAATTGTAGTATGATTTTTATCATAAATGTCCATTTATGTCATTAAACTTCCATAAACCACTCATGAATTCTGTAAAATGTTATTCTATGTATGCAATAGTGGTGCTATTAAAAACCTTTGGACCATAAGTATCTGAAAGAAATAATAATGATGAAGAAATTGCACAAGCCTGGTGACATGACATTTAAGGGAAGATAAAAATCTACTAAGGATACCAACAGAAACAGTGATTATTTTTTTAGTCCTACTCATTTGAAAATATGTTAAATCACAGGCTTTCTGTCAGGTCACAATACATCATGTCATTTGCCTTCTTGTCCTTCGCAGATGCTTATTGTGTATTGTTTGGGAATAAGTATTATTTTGTTGTAATATAAAAATATAAATATGAAGTATATAATTGTATAGTCTCCAAATAAATATGTGGTTATAGCATATTGTAGTAAGTAGAAACAGTCTTTGTTAGGTGGTGACATCTGATCCATTATTTGACCCATCAGAGTCAGTTGTAGCAGCAACTGAGTAAGCAACTACAGAGATGCCTACCGCAGTGATTTTTCTTGCAGGAATGTGTCACTGGACAAGATACAGCTACTCAACACTTCGTAAAAACGGAGCTTTTCCGTCGAACTGGGACTCTTTTTTCTTCGCCCTCCTAAACCACGATTGGGTACACAGCTCTTCACGTCACTTAAGCTCTTGGATTTTTGAGATTCTTCCCAAAACTATTTTGTCGGAGCGCCGCCGGAACTGTAAGTATGACTCGCAGTTGCCGCCCGGTCTTTTGTTGCTGTCTCCCAGGCCAGATTGCCTTACCCTAACTACCTCCGTTCGCGCAGTTGCCAGGGTAACAGAGACTTTGGTGAGGCAGAGCAGCAACAGACGACCGTTGCTTTTATGAAGCAGGCCTGTGGGCAAGATGGTGAGGGACAAGAAGAATCGGATAAGGCTAGATTAAGGAGCTTTTCCAAAGAGATGAGAGGGCGAAAAAGATTGGCGGAGTCCTATTCCCTTTACCTGTTCTTACTTCTATCGCTTTTGCAGATGCTCTCACGGCTGAAACCCGCTGTTGGAGGCGGACCTCAATCAGCGGATAAACGCAGAAAGAAAGGCAAACGGCTGCCGCAGCTGGAAGAGTTATTAACTCAGCGAGATTTCACTGGGGCCATTGCCCTTTTAGAGGTACTAGGGATACATCTGGGGAATGGCGGTACGAGAGTTCTGCAAGTGGAGTTGCTGCGGCTGCTTCTGGATTATTTGCTAGCATATTGGTTAAGACTTCTGCTCTGTTCAGTAAACTGCTTTCGGAACAGATCAGTGCTTTACAAAAAAAAAAAGGAAAACTGTCCATTCATGTTCTTGTTACAACATCAGTCATTTCAGACTGAGAACATCCCTGTTTTTTACTTCTCTGATTTTACAGGGTGGCAAATACTACCTCTGAAAAAGAGAAATAAATCTAGAGTCTAACCACTGCATGCAGTGACCCGAGATAATCCACGTATTACAATTTATCCTCCTTGCTATAGATTAAATGTAGTCATCAAAGCTGATGAGCAGACTGATGATGATGTATTAGCAGTAATAAGAAAACTACTGTATCTAAATCACAAGATTATGAACAAGATAGATTATAATGACTTTATCAGTTTAGGAATTAAGATTTTATAGTAATCAATCTAATTTTCTGGAGAAGATAGATAAACTGCTTGCTCACTTTGTAATAAGCCAAAATTCCTAGTTTATCATGTGTGAACATGGTAATAAGCTAATGTAGTAGTTGTTCTAAAAGTTTATTCCTTGTTGAAAACAATGCAGAGGAAGCAATATTATTAAACTGCAATATGAATGGGTACTATGTGCATATATGGATGGTTTAGTGTGGCTTCTAAATGTGAGTATGATTACTGCATCAACAAATTAAGATTAAGTTTATTTAATTTATTAATTTGTAAATTCCTAGTTTGTTTTCTTCAACAGAGTATAAATCTAAGATTGATATATTAAAATGCAAGTACAAAAGACTCAAGTTTGCATCATAAACTGTGTGTGTCAACATTACACTATGGTAATTACACGCAGACACTTAAGGATAATCCCAGTACAATGTTATTGCCTTTTTAAAAACCTGCATTTGCAATGAGAAAAGCAAAGTTGGCATGAATATATTGTAACCACACTTTGCACTTCACTCATATTGTGGTTATGAGTACTACCTAACTGACAGTGACAAATAGATTGATCATATGGAGATCCTATGACATTAATATCATCATAGAGAAATTTGTGGTGTTGCTAAGTCAATAATCACTTGATGGCACATCATATTCATGACCACCTTAATACATTTCTGCCTGCTAGTCATAAAAACTGGCTATCTAAATATTTGTAAATATCTAATTAATTTAAATGTGAGCTCCTCTTTTATATATGAACATTATATACACAGTGACTTTTGAGAGGGTTAAAATTAAACCCCATCACTGCTTAAAAGGGTAGATTTGTGTATACCGTATGGCTACAGACTGTAAACTTGTCATTTTAAAATAATTAAAAATTATATAAACTTGGTCACAGTTGGATATCACTTTAATTTTTATTCTGCCTTCTTCCCAAGTTTAAGTGTCAGGTTGGAGAACAGGAGGAAGATGCAGACCTCTGGATTGGATATTGTGCTTTCCATCTGGGTGACTACAAGAAAGCACTGGAGGTGAGGTAGTACTTTTTTGCTTGAAAAGAAGGATGTTCTCTTAAATTTGTAAGAATGAGGATGAATTAAATGTGCCCCAAAGTGACATAAAAGCAAAAAAATACTGGCTGTATTATTTTGTGTCCAGAAGCCTAGTGAATACATTATATATAGTTTTTTTTAATTTTGACTTATTTATGAAATACAATGCATTAATTTATGACCTGCTATTTTTCAAAATTCTTTCTTTACATGAGGAAAATACTTTGAGAGAACCATTTTAAGAGAAAATGGAATTAATTTACACATGACTGTGTCATTATGACTGTGTCACTATGTAACATTGTTCCTCAAATTTACTATCTGTGAAGAATGAAATTTAAGATTGTAATGTATCTCACGGACCAGAATAAGTAAGATAAAGGATCAGTATTTCAAAGGCTTGCATCTAGTTGAAGATATGTTTAAATATTGTAGAAGAAAAGTATAGTGGTACAAATGTAGGGTTATGCAAAGTACTTAAACGGATGTTTTGCAAAGCAGATTGATATGAGTAAAGTTTTTCTTCTTGAACTGCAGAATAGTAGTATCTTCCAGGAAACACCATACAACTATTTTCATGTATGCACATAAAACATTTCCACTAATAGTTCTAATAGAGCAAAACTGCTGTACATGCAGATATATACTTGTAGAAGTGATTTGGGAAAGTCCTAAAAGCAGCTGCAATGAAAAGGATGCAGCTTTTTCAAAATGTTGATGATAGCTGAAATATATCTGCATTGGACATGTTAGTCACTTCTGTTTACATTTTTTTAATTTATAGTTCTTATGTGCTCTGGCTGGGTTACAAGAAGAAATAAAGCATAAATTTGTGGTGATTAAATAAGTCTGTATCAAAATGTTATTTATTTAAGGAATATGAGGATTTAACCAAGGGATCTACCTGCAACCCTGATGTGTGGGTAAATCTAGCATGCACTTACTTCTTCTTGGGAATGTATACACAAGCTGAACAGGCTGCTTTGAAAGGTGAGTCTGGTAATTAAGGTTGCATTTTTATATATGTTTACTGGCAATAAATTCAGATGTACTTACTGGAAGTGAGTGGGAGCATTGGTTGCACTGTGAAAATGAGACATGTGAAGTAATAAGTTTGAAAACCTAGATATTAATTTTGTTTGCAGCTCCCAAGAGTAGACTTCAGAACCGTCTATTGTTCCATCTAGCACACAAGGTATGTATTTCAAAAATTGGATCAGATTTGGAAGTAGCTGAAGTATTTTGAAATCCAGTTCCCATCGTGTGCCCAAATGTTATTTAAAATCTTATAAATGCTATTTGTTTTCAGAGCAAGCAGTGTAATGCAAGTTACTGAAGAAAAGGAAGCAAAAGATGTTGGAGATAATATAAGAAAGAAAAAAAAACTAACTAAATCTAGTTGACACCAACTCCTCTGTACCATGGGGATTCTACTACAATTTATTCACTTTTGGTCAGATAGAATGATGATTTAAGAGCTGAAGTACTAAGTAGACATAGAAGGCAAAAGCCTGAAAGTTTCATGGTGATAAGAATTAAGATAATTAAGAAACGATGACCCTTTTGTAGATGGCCTAGAGTCTGGAAAAATAATTAGTTTCTAATGAAATGTGGTGGAGGAGAAATATGGTTAAAATATTGTTCTCAGCAAACAAAGTATTAGAATATGTGTAAGGCATCCACTTGTCTCTCTTTAAATCATATTTCCTTCTTAGTTTGGTGATGAGAAGAAACTGATGAGCTTCCATCAGAATTTGCAGGATATAACAGAAGACCAGCTTAGTTTAGCATCTATACACTACATGCGATCTCATTATCAAGAAGCTATTGATATCTACAAACGCATATTGCTTGATAACAGGTTGGGTCAACTTCTCTCTATCTGTTTAATAGATAATTAGGAGGAAAAGGGCTGAAAAAAATAATTTCAATCTTGCAGTATTTTAGCTATTTTTTGCTGAATTTAAATATTGCCTTCTGTAAATGTTACTGTAAAATCTTATTTAAATTTTTGATCCAGTAGTAAGTTCTGAGTTTAGCAAAACATGCAGAGAATGTGGACACTTAAGGAAAAATGCTAATGAAGGTACAATTGTAGATTCATACTAAATATATGTGGTTAGGATTAGGGCTGTTATTTTTTTTAGTGAATAATTATTTTTTGAGATTTGTACCTTGTGCAAATTTTAAATCATTTAAAAATATTTTTTAAATAATTGGATAAGTCTAGGAGGATATAGTGGGGTTTTTTTTTCCTGTTTAAATTAGATTCCGGTTTAAAAAGAGAAAGACAAGAATTAAAATCCAACTTTAGAATTTCATCAAGGGCCAGAACCAAATGGAGTAAACTTTCACCTAAATATCTAATCCGAACTACTCCAGTCTTTCTTCATGTCAGTAGTTTAATTTGTGGTGGGAGAGAATCATTTTGAAGTCCTTACTGTTCAGCAAATAGGAGTCAAATCTTTGGCAATCTGTTGCAAATCATTTAGGAGCTACAATTAGATCCAGATGCACCTTATTCCATTTAGTGCCTGAATCTTGTTAAAACTAGAAAATAGAAAAGTAGCTGGGTCAAATCAAGACCTATTTTAAGCCAGCAATTTGCTTATCATAGTAACCAATTAAATCCTTCTAGGATACTTGCAAATAAGAAATGAAAGCAAACACTTCTCTTGCTATTGTTCTATTTGTATTTGGAAGCATGCAGCCACCTCATTGAAACAGTGAATATTGAGTCTCCATGCCTAACAGCTTTTTATAAATATATTCTTCATAAACTATCCTTTTTTAAAGCAGTCCAAACTAATAGCTATGCCTATGTCTTATGTTAATGAATTCCACAAACCAATTATGCATTGTACTTATTCCAAGACTTCCAGTTTATTCCAAGACTTCCAGTCAATTTCTTTGAAGTCTCCTGATCCTAATTTTGAAAGAGAAACTTCTTCCAGTCTACTCTCTCTACGCTCTGCATTTTTATATGCATTGATTGAATCTTCACTCAGTTACTTTTTCTTCAAGCTAAGAGTCTCAAAGATATTTGAGCCCTTTGGTCATTTTGATTGCTTTCTTCTGTGCTTCTTCCACCCCCATTGCATCTTTTTTTTCAAATGTGACAAAAAATGTACACAGTACTTACTTCAGAGATGTTGGGCTAGAACAGTGGAAACCCAAATTCAAATCCATTCTCAACCATGGAGACTCATTGGATGACTTTGGGTCAGTCATTCTCAGCTTAAATTGGCCAATATCTTATGTGATTGTTTGTGTGAGGAAGACAGTGCAGGAGAGACTGCTGTGTTCAGTATCTTGAGACTCAAGAGAGCCATTTATTTATAAAATAAATAATTATTGACAGATTTATTTTTCGCTAGGTCCCCTTTCTCATAAATTCTCCATGGAAAACAGCTTTTTCACAGCTGTTGCATATTATGTCAATCTTCAGTGAGTTATCCACTATGATTCCAACTTGTTTTTCTTGATCACTTAGAAACAATGTAATATAAATTTATATTACAGTGTCCATGATTTTTTTTCTGATATTTTTGTTACTTTTTTAAATAAATGTAAAATTATGTGCCCACGATTCTAGGTAATAGTTTTAGTATTCCATTAGCTGAGAGTTTCATACCTCTACCATAGACATTTACTTTATCACAGTTTGTAGCAAGATGAATGTATTAATATCTTGTGCCATTCTGATGCGCATTGAAGTTGTAGTGAAAGGAGGTGGATATTTGGGGTATTATTTTTATACTGGGCTTTTCTAAGTTTTATGTCACTGAAACTTTGTTGAATTTTATAAAGCAGTAGTTATATTAATATATTGATGAACTCTGATTTGGCAGGGAATATCTGGCCCTCAATGTGTATGTGGCCTTGTGTTACTACAAGTTGGACTATTATGATGTCTCTCAAGAGGTGCTAGCTGTTTACCTTCAACAAGTTCCTGATAGTACCATTGCTCTTAACTTAAAGGCTTGTAATCATTTCCGACTCTACAATGGGAAAGCTGCTGAGGTATTTTGTTACTATAGTTTTATCTCTCAAATCATTCCTCAATCCAAGATTAAATTTTGTTATAACATTTCAGTATCTATTCTTGAGAAATGCAAATTCTTTGCAGTTTGTGTATAGCTATTTCTATTGTTCCTGGTACTATACAGAACACATATTTTAATCCTATCTTATTTTGTATAATAAGTTCATTTAAGCAAAATGTTTATTTCTTTGGTTACCACTGTTAATAATATGACCTATTTAAAATTTCTTTAAAACTACAAGGCAGAGCTTAAAAGTTTGATGGACAGTGCCTCAACATCATTTGAATTTGCTAAAGAGCTCATTAAGCATAACTTGGTAAGTAGCAATGAAGTAGCTCATATAATGTGACTTATTCAGATCATGCACATGATAAGTACTGTTTTGTCAACTTGTCCAAAAGAGTAATTTATTGGTTGGGAATGAGCTATGAAAGTTCCATTTATATTCACAGAAGAGTTCCTGAAAAAGAAATTTGGGGAAGAGAAGTGGGATTTATGGAGAGAAAATAATACATGTATTAAATATATATTTATGCCAATGCTTAATATTATATATTTCTTTATGGGCCTTCAATTTTGATTTTGCTTACATTGGTTATCATATTCATGCACTATCATTGCCCTTGACTTTAAGTTCTTTCCCTATTATGTTCAAATATTTATTAACTTTTCAAAAAACCTTATGTGATCTATTCCCACCAGCTTCATTTTGATGTGATTTTCCAGATGTTAACTTTGTAAACTTGATATTTTCTCTTAAGATTCTGACTTATGATTTGATTTTCTCTGGAAATTAACTTTTTTTCACAAACCAAAATAATTTAAAGATATTTTTGTTTATTCCATGCACAATTCTTCCCTCCTTTTTTATTGGCTTCTCATTCCCTTCCATATACATTGTTGTCATCTTATCCTGCAGCTACCAGATGTTTTATAGCTTATTACTCTATTTAATGATTTTAACTTATCTAAATCTATCATCTTCAGATGTCGCATAATATTCTTGGTTCTGCTTTCTTATCCTTGTTGCTGTTTGAAACGCTCTTCTCCCATAGACTATATATTTGATATCACACCTCACACCTTAAAATTCATGTTTTCTGCAAGGTCTTGTGCTTGACCTTTTTTTTTTCTCTTTATCAACTGTATCAAAGTTTTGGAATGTATACATAATGGCTGTATATGAAAGTGCTGTATATATAGATAGTATTAAATAATAAATATGTTACTATGATTTCTGGGGTAAATGTTTAATCTGTAAACTACAAAAACAATAGAGTAATAAATGATATATTTTCATAGTTCATGATAAACTGCCTCGTACAATAAATATATTTAAAACATGTATGAGATTAAATTGCAACTTGTTTGCAACAATACTAATAAAGTGAGTACTTACAGGTGGTATTCCGAGGAGGTGAAGGGTCTCTCCAAGTACTCCCTCCACTGGTTGATGTCATTCCTGAAGCTAGACTGAACTTAGTCATTTACTATCTTCGGCAAGGTGAAAAAAAATCTATCTCATTTTACTGTTCACATTTTTAGTGATTTTTTTCTACCAAATAGAAAATATATGTATTTTGTTTTGGGGATTATTATGGGGGATACAGTTGCTTACTATTTTTTATTTGTGGTCCTTCATAAACTAACAACTGATGTAAAGTAGGATGTCCCTGGATGAATATATGGGGTTCTTTAAAGTATTGCAGACAAATGTTTATGTTTGCCACCTATACTTAATCACATTTTTGTCTTCAATTCCAAAGTGCTGCATAGTCCTATTATTTAATGTCCCTTTTAAAGGAACAAGTGAATTTTTGCTTAAGACAATCTATACACTCTCTTCTAACGTCAGCTGATCTATGTAGGAACAAAAAATATTTTGATCTTGGGCTGATCTTAGTTATTATTATTCTGCAATTGTCACTTTGACCCTGGTGTTTTTTTATTTGTTTCTGTGCTATTAAAACAAAATCCCCCCAGAATGTTTTGGTTTGTTACTCTAATAAAATGTCTTGTTTTAGTAATTAAATACATCCTTTTTGGATCCTGAAAAAAATAAGTTGACATTCTGTTTTGATGCATTTTCCTTCTCTTTTCTCTATGTATAATATGTGAATATATGAATAAAATAAGGCTAAAAAGCCTTTAAACTGTACACATATTGTAACATTTAAAGAACATTACACAAATATTTATCAACTTTTTTTGGCAATAGAAGTATAAAAGTATGGGAAGGGTATAGTATTATATACTGTAGCGTTATATACTGTATCATATTATTTCAGATGATGTACAGGAGGCTTACAACTTGATTAAAGACCTGGAACCTACAACCCCGCAGGTTAAAAAAAAGTTTATTCATTGTTACATACTAGAAGAAATTATCTTTGAAATTTATAGGATAGAATTAAATATTTGTACCCTCTATTTTTTGTTTGTTGCTTTCTTTTTTTAAAAAAAATATATGTGGATCAGAGTAATTAAATAATTAAGATAAGTGGATCAGAGTATTTAAGTTCTGTTAAAATCAGTATGAAAAAAGAACTGTCATTTGTGTCAGACTTAATTTATTTTAATGCAACTAAGTAACAGCTAATTCTTGATGAAAACTTTTGAATTTTTCATACTTAACAGTGATCAAAACAATACTATAAGCTGCACAATATACTTGGTTCAAGTTTTGAAATTTTATGATAAAAAACTAGTAAAACAACTGACATGTTTGATGTTCCATTTAAGTGACTTTTATAGATGTTTATACGTATTTTCTGATTATTTCACTTATTTCAAATTCATTATTGTTACTGTTATTATTTAAAAATAGTTTCTTTAGCTGATGTATACTTTAAGAACCTGGAAGATGGCAAGATAAATTTCTGGAACCTGGATGGCTCCACTTAAAATACATGCTTGAATAATAGAATACACCTAAAATTTTATCAGAAGAATGAAATGGATGACTGAACAGCCCTTTTATGGTTTGAGTGCCATTAATTTAATTTGGCTTACCAGATACAGTTAGAATCCGTAAAGCTATCTGATTCAAATATCTATTTATTTGCACTATAATTTGAATAAAAGAATTGCAAATTGTTTTAAGCTTCAGGAAACAAATTGCATAATTTAATTATTTTTTAATATTTTTAGGAATATATTCTGAAAGGAGTAGTGAATGCAGTACTTGGGCAGGAAATGGGTTCAGTGAGTATAACAATTTCTGATAATAGGAATTTATGAAGAATCTATAAATGGCCAAATCGAACACAAAAGCTGATTGAGATTTTAACGATCCTTGCTTACATAAATTTATTTTAGTTTTATATGGCAAAAAGTAGAATTACCTTTTACATTAATAATGAATTCAGGTGTTGAATCATAACTGTTTTAGGCAAACTAGAGTTATTGAGAAACAAAAAGGAAATATAACCATGCTTGGGAAAGGCTCATCTATTTAAAAAAAATAAGGTTTTATACAGAAATTAAAAAAAAACAATGATAATTGAATATGGTCATTAACATCAAAACATTTTGGGAGGGGAAAATGGAAAATAAAATGAGCATGATGAAGAATAAAACTAGGCATTCAGAAAATACAAAGGGAAAAATATTCATCAGCATAATAAAAGCCCTATTTCTATATTGTTCTTTTTCAGAGAGACCATTTGAAAATTGCTCAGCAATTTTTCCAGCTGGTGGGAGGATCTGCTAGTGAATGTGGTATGTTTTAAATATACTGTGTTCTCTTTTCTTCAAACATTCTGTTAAATTTACTATGTGATTCAATAAAATGTTTCCCGAAAGTAAGTCCTACCCCCAAAATAAGCCCTAGTTTTGAGGCGAGGCACACACCTAAAAATCATGCTAGGATGGTGGTGGGGTGATGGAGCTGTCCCCTGTGCTCCACACCCACTTACCTTGCAGTCAGGCCTCTCCTCACTGGCCCACTTCTTCTGCCGCGTCTTCTGCAGCTAGGCCTGCATTTCTGTCACAGTCCTTTCCGGAAGGCCCCTGCAGCCGAGAACCGAGCTATGAATTCAATTCATAGCTCAGTTCTACAAGACCTCTGCAGCTGAGAACCTGTACTTGGCTGCAGAGTACAGAGAACCTGTACTCGGCTGCAGTGTCCTTCCAGAAAGGCCTGACTGCAAAATGCAGGCTGGAATGCAGATGTAGAATGAAGCGTTCCTTCACCCAGAAGAAATGGACCAGCTAAGCAGGGCTATCGGTGCCAGAGGCGAGTATAAAAGACATCCCCTGAAAATAAAACTTCGTGCCTCATTTGGAGGCAAAAAAAAAAAAAGACCCAGTCTTATTATTGAGGAAACACGGTATTAGTATTTGCCAGTAACAAATGTTAAATAGAAATGTTTAACATACAAATGCAACATAAATATGCTATTTTGGCTAGAATTAGGTGTATATGTACAATTTAAGTTATGAATTTAGATTGTAAATATTCATTTCATAAATAATTATAGAATCATAGGGTTGGGAAGGACTTGGAAAGCTCATGACTTCTCTGATCATCCCAGACAAATGACTCTACAATCTTTACCTGAAAACCTTCATTGAGGGAGTAGCCATAATTCCATGAGGCAGTCTGTTCTACTGCTTAATAGCTGTTACTATCAAGAAATTCTTCCTTACTTCAAGTTGGATCTTCTTCTGTCAGCCCTCTAAGGCATATCAGATTAAGAAAGAAATGTCATATGGGTCTTAAAGCTATTTTTATTTTTATTAGAATAGCTATAGCAGTGACCCCCAATGTTTTGGGCTCCAGGGACTGGTTCAATGGAGAGTGGTTTTTCTATGGACCCTGGGGGGATATAGTTTCACACACTGCCTATATCCCATGCATGCATGGATGGGACTTCACTCGCTTGCGTGGCCCTGTTCCTGGTAGGCTGTGGCCCAGTGCCAGGAGTTGGGGACTGGCCACAGCCTAATGGATCCAGTGCCAGGGGTTGGGGACCCCTAAGCTATAGGGACAGAATCTTGCAAGTCTGAATATGCCTCCCTCCTCCCTCACTTGATCTTTGTATGGAATAAAGAGGAGCCTGTCTGAGGCATCTTCTTGTTTCTTGGAATGGGTTCAACAGATGCTTGTCTGATTGTTTCCTTGTAATGGATCTTCCCACTGTCCTTTAAAGTCATTCTCTATGCCTTCTGCAGATTCCATCAATTGGTTCTTATTCTATTGTTGCAAGCTATGGAGAATAAATTGATACCTTCTTCCGTGTGATAGCTCTCCAATTATTTGAAGACCGCTGTTCTGTCTTCGCTTAACCTTGTCTTCTTTAAGTTAAACATCTGGTTCATATAACCATTTTCATAGATTTTAGCCTCCAAGCTCCTCATTATCATTGTTGTTTTTCTAATCGTTCTTTTTAGTTCTGTAGCATACTTATTTGAGGACTCCTGTTGTCCTCTAATCAGTGCAGTGCAAAATGGAACTATCACTTCCTGTGGTTTTGACACTATATTTTACTTGATGCAGCCTAATATTATATTTGGTACCTGTAGCATACTGACTCGTGCTTAATCTATGGTCTACTGGGGTGCTTAGTTTATTCCAAGTATTATTGCCAAGCCAAATACTGCCTAGCTTATTTGTGAATCTGGTGTTTGCTATTTAAGTACAGAACCCTACATTTTTTGCCATTGGAAAACATTTTATTGGATAGGGCCTGATGTCCAAATTTATCAAGACTCTTTTGAATCTTGAGTCGCTTTTGAGGTGTTAGCAATTTGTTCTTTCCTATCCACACTCCCAGTTTTGTGTCATCTGCAAACTTTTTTTATATATAACAAATTTTATTGTTTTTTTTAAGTTTTACAACAAAAGTGCTCGAGACACACCATGGTGATGGGATAGTGAAACATCCAAAAATGAAATCATATATGAATAACTCAAGTAAATACATTAAATATTCCCTCTCTATTTCCCTCAAATAGTATGGTATATTTAAAATAATCCATTTCTACATTAGATTTCTATAAATCCTAATCCTGTTTTCAAACTTTGTTAATTTAGTTACCATAGTCCAATTTAATCTTAAATAGGCATATTATCACTTCAGGTACCCAAAGGTATTCTAGTTCTTAATCATTAATTTTATCAGAAATCTCTCTTATTTCTTCTTCCACTACAAAATAGTTATCCTAATTAAAATAAAATATTACTCTACCCTATACATTTACAATCCATGATTCAATCTATTTCTATAGGAAACAAAATAATACAAAACATTAAATCATTTCAGTCCATTAGGAAGAATTCAAATCTCATCCAGATAGATATCATGTCTAAAAACACGCTTATTGTTACACAAAACATCTTACTAACTTAACATGCTCAATTAATTGTTAAATCAATCCAGATCTCTAAAACCTCTTCCATTTTCTTATTCTCATTCCATTACAAAATAATTTTCATACAAATCTTAAACCTTAAGTCAATCCATATTTCCACAAGGCCTTTTTAATCCATTAGATATGGTTTTAAGTTTCTCTTTTTAGTCTTATTCTGGCTTTCTTTTTGTGCCAGGCCGGTTTCCATAACAAAGCCTCTATTTCAGCAGTTAGATCTCCCTTTATTGCTTGTGATGTCATTTGGGTCAGTAGAAGACATCCCATCCTCTGTGTTAGAGGCCTGGCTCCTTTGTTGTTAGATCCTCATTACTTACATCAAGTCTCAATCTTTGGTTCTTTTGATCCTCAAGGATGTGAGTGGGATGCATATAAGGCAATATAGATTCCTCTTTAATCTCAGTTAGTTCCTCTTCTGGTATATTTTGGTTTATAGAACAGTCAGTTGAAGTCTGGGAATCAGTTTGAAGATTTGGAGTAAGGTTTCAGGCTCTTATTTCTGTAGTAACCTCTTTTATTTTAGTGCATACTTGCTCAGTGGCTTCATAAATTTTTTCCAATATAAGTTTACAATTTAATTGTAAGTTAGGTTTCTCCATTTCAATAATAATTGTAGATAGTTCTTTTTATCTTTTAGCGTGGGCTATATTTACTAGAAATTAAACAATGTCCACCCCCACAATTTCTGACCGCTGCATCAGCTTCTTTATCTTGTTTGTTCCCTGGTGCACATTTAAATCTTCACAATATTTATAGGAATCTGTGGGTGAATAAATAGTTTCCCTTCTGTAATAGTTTAAAGGTCAAGCCAACCTCATCTCCAGACAAAAACAGGCAGTTGCAATATTAAGTTTTTGCCACAAGATGTCCTCAGTAGGTTACAAAATATTTCCCAAACACCATTTTTTTCTTTTCTCTCTCTTTTCTTAAAAAAAGAAAAGGAAAAAGCAGAAAAAGAAATATTCTTCAAGTGTAAAATGAAAATAAAGCTCTATAAAAAAAAATTCTGTACCCAAGGTAGATAAAAGTTGAATTGAAATTAATTATTCTGTCCTTTTGTTCAGCACATTTCTTCTCACACAAGCAAACGCCGCTCTCTCAAGACAGAGAAATAATTCCAAAAAGGCTTTTACAGGCAGAGAGAAAAACAGGGTGAAGAAGGGAGAAGGGAGGGTCTCACCCGGATCATCCGCGGTGGGTTTTTCACACTTAGATGTACCTGTGGCTTTCGGCTGGTGCAGTTAGATGATTGGCCATCTTGTAAGATGATCTTTGCTCCGTCATCCCTAAGGAGTTAGCTCAGTGGTTCTCAACCTGTGGGTCGGGACCCCATTTAGGGTCGAACGACCATTTCACGGGGGTCGCCAAACAACACAGTCCGCCATTTTTTCCCCCCTTTTCTTTAGACTCTTGAATAGAGTCTAATTCTATTGGCTTTCAAAAGCCAATAGGAATTGTCCAGGCTGTCTCTGCCCTGCTGAGCCCACCAAAAGTCCCATTCTGCAAATGGTGCTGCACCAGTTGAGTAGTCCTTGACTTACGACCAGTTGAGTAGTCCTCGACTTACAACCGGTTGGGGGTCACGGCATTAAAAAGGTTGAGAACCACTGAGTTAGCTGGAGCCGCAGAAGAAGCTGCTGCCCTCCCGCAGTCACCAACAAGCTTCCTCATCGGTGGTCGACCCTCCAGGGCGACTTTCAACCCACTACGGCAGTGGTTCTCAATCTTTTTAATGCCGCGACCCCCAACCGGTCGTAAGTCAAGGACAACCCAACCAGTCGTAAGTCGAGGACTACCCAACCTGTCATAAGTCGAGGACTACCCAACCTGTCATAAGTCGAGGACTTTCCCTGCCCGGGAGTGCCATGCATGTGTGGTGCCGCCCCCTGCACCGGCCAAGGCGTAGCTGGCAAGGGGCAGCGATGGCGCAGGGTGACTGCCGGCTTGGCCACCAGCTGGCCCAGCCCAAGGGAGGTAAGGCACCCGCTGGGCCCCACGCGCGCCAGCAACCTTCCCTGCGCCCGCCGGCCTCCCACCTTCCACCCCTGGCCCTCTTTTACTTACATTTGTAGTAGTTGCTCAGCAGGGAGGGGTGGAAACTTCCAGACAGCTCGCCTTCGCTGCAGACAACTTGCAGCACCGTTTGCAGAATGGGACTTTTGGCGGGCTCAGCAGGGCAGAGACAGCCTGGACAATTCCTATTGGCTTTTGAAAGCCAATAGAATTAGACTCTATTCAAGAGAGTCTATTCTATTGGCTTTCAAAAGCCAATAGAATAAAAGGGAGTAGCACAGCTAAGGAAAAGGGGGAAAAATGGCGGACTGCATTGTTTGGTGACCCCCATGAAATGGCCGTTCGACCCCAAATGGGATCACGACCCACAGGTTGAGAACCGCTGCACTACGGGGTCTACTGGCGAAGAAAAAACAGTTGGTGGAGACACAAGTCTCTTCACACGACTGGAGTCGCCGAGAACCGGAACCGGAAGTCGTGTCATCTGCAAACTTAATGCACATTCTTTCTATCCCCTCATCAAGCCATATTTGAAAAGTTGAAAGCACTTGAGTTATTCCACTACATATCTCTCTCCATGTAAACATAGTACCATTAATGGCCACACATTGAGCATAGTTGATCAGCTGCAAATCCAGCTAATAGTGGAACTATGCATCCATTGGTGAATTTTATGAAAAAGGAAGAAATATATCCATAGCATTCCCATGGTTTATTAGTCACTTTGTCAAAAAAGCAATAAGATTTGTTGAATGACATGTTTTTAACAAAACCATGCTGGCTTCTAGGAATCACTTTGCATCATAGTTGCTTGGTATCTTTCCGGACATTTTTTGGCACCTTCACTCATTCTAACATGAAACAGCAGAAGGGAATAATGGTCAGTAGATTTGATTAATCAAGCTCAGCCTCTCCATCACATCCTGAATCTTTGCATCTTGGAGACAATACACTTTTTTGTACCTTTTGTATCACCAAAGTAAATAATACATAGTGTTGCATTCTGATATCCTGGCAGTAGCTCTGAAAACAAATGAAGGTAAGTGTACTCCCCAACATTTTTGCTACTCTCAACTCATTTGCACTGTTGTTCTTCAGATACTATCCCTGGGAGACAGTGTATGGCTTCTTGCTTCTTTCTGCTCAGGCAGTTTGATGATGTCCTAATATATCTCAATTCAGTGAAGGTTAGTACAAGTTACAATTATCTTGTATACATTCATATATGTCTGTTTATTAGTATCTCAAAAGGTGGCTATTTTATCAAGTGTCATAGAAAATCCAGTGAGAGGGCATCTGGCTTTAATTGTGATATTTTCAGTGAAAATGTTGCTGTGCTGCCGATTATTATTTGATTTTGGTTTTGCTAGAATCTATGTTGGTTTATGTGGTTGATATAATCTGGTCTTCATGGAAGTTTCTATAACTGCCCTTTCTATTGTCTCTTTACTGTAGATCAGTGGTTCTCAACCTGTGGGTCGGGACCCCATTTGGGGTCGAACGACCATTTCATGGGGGTCGCCAAACAAGGCTGTCCGCCATTTTCCCCCCTTTGGCCACGCCCCTGGCACCCAGTGATGTATAAGTGGTTGGGGGTCACCACAACACGGGGAACTGTATTATGGGGTCACGGCATTAGAAAGGTTGAGAACCACTGCTGTAGATAGTAGACAAAATAAAACTATCTAAGATGGCAAAATCTCAATCAATATGTAAAAAGCAACTTGACCTATTTTTTAAGTCAGTCAAAGCCTTATCTTTATTTATTGTATTTATATCTCACCTTTCAGTCAGGATATTTAGTTAGCAAATACAGTGTTCCCTCCTCTTTTTCTCCATAACAGCACTTTTATGAGATAGGTTGAGCTGAGAGAATGATTGGCCCAAAGCGAATTGTTGCAATTGACAATGGAATAGAAATCTGCATTAGCTTGCTCTTAGTTCAGCACCTGCATTGCATTGGCTTTCATATATTAGCCCTAGCAACTCTTACATTATATTTATATTTTTCTTTGCTATAAACTACTTAGTCTTGTGGATAATTTACAAAAATTGTAAATAAATCTCTTAAATGCTTTGCATAGCCCTATTTTTTCATGAAATGCCAAGCCAAATGAAAACTTATTCAGTCTCTTTACTTGCCAAATCTTCATTATGGGATTGTCTGGCACTGGAGCAAAATCTGAAGAAGGAACTGGGGCTGGCCCTCAGATATAGTATGTAATACCATCTCTGCTGTAATTGATTTTCCAATTTTCCAATTAAAAACTGGATGTTGCCTTTAATTTACAATATTTGGTGCATCATTACTTTTAGCAATCACGTAATAATGCATTGTAGATTTCAAGGTTCTAGTTATACAACGAATATAGCCCCTTTGTTTTGACAGTAGATAATTAGAAAATAAGAATTTAGCTTTTTCAAATGACTGAAAAGTTGTTGCAATATCTCCTAGCTCTCTTATCCTGTAAAAATCATTTTCTTTTACTACTGTAGGCTAACTTTTCTTACTCAATTTTTCCTTCATGACTTGTACATGGTCAGTGTAAGAATCTGCCTCAACTAGATCTCCCAAGAAAGCAGAACTCTTGAAACAGGCATCATTTCAAAAGGCACTTTTATTGAGAGTTAGTGATGGCTAGAAAGCAAAGCAAGGTCTAAACATTTGGCACACAAAGGATTACATCAAAAACAATTCAGAACTCCTCCCCCCAGTGTCCAACTGTCCAGTTGAAATCCAGCCAATCCATAGGTGCCACAGTGTTATGAGATGCTGGAGATTTGGTGCCCTTCTCAAAGTCTCTCTCGGTTCCGTTTCCCAACAGTGCCAGGCTCCGTGGTCTGGGGATAAGGCAGATGTTTTCATGTCACATTCCTCTCACCCAGAGGAGGGGCACCTTGTACAGAGCAGAGCAAGGCAAATCACAACCCCACCCATGCAAGCACCCCCCCCCAGCAGAATGGCAGGCCCCGAAAATGAATACATAAGCAAAAGCAGGAAAGAAAGGGAAATGAATAAATGAGTATTTGAGGGGTTCTGACAGTCAGTTAATTCAGAAACTAAGGAAACAACTAAGCATGCTCATTTCCTAAGTAATACAGAAAATTAACTTATTGGATACTCAGTCATACAAAACAAAAGTTAGTTCAGCATCCCATTCTCTTTTATCAACATGCTTATATAGAAAACACCAATTATAATCTACAGATCTTATTTTGGAAGTTGCATATTTGCTTTCTTTTTATGTAAATAAATTTTAAAGCGTATACAGTATTATAACCATGGTCTGTATTTTAGTGCAAAATTAGATGTTTCATTGTAATTAGCTTTTAATGATTTTGTACTGTATTACTACATGTACAGGTTATCCCCGAGTTACAAGTGTTCACATAGCGCTCGTTTGAAGTCTGGCTGGAAATGGAGCGTTTGAAAGCACCCCATTTGCAGCCAGACAGAGCTTCCAGCCTCTCCAAGGTCTCCGTCTAGCTAAAAAGTGTTCCAGCGGTGGTGGAAAGGAGTTGGGGGGGGGAGCAGGAGACAGGCATCCCAAACACTTTTTGCCGCGAAAATCAAAGTTCCTGGGGTCCATGATCTCACGAGATTTCAGGCACTCATTCTCTGCAAAAGAGGATGGATGCCTGAACTTGCACGATATTATGGCACCCAGGAATTTCCATCGACTTTCCCTCAAAGCAGCAGAGAGGAGAAACAGCGCCAGAGAGGATTTTTGCAAGGTAAGTGAGTCCGGTGCGGCAGGGAGGGAGGAGGAAGCATGAGGTATCTTAGTGGGTTGGGGAGGTCTTGAGGCCTGTTCCGTCACTACCCCCCCCCATGGCCTTCCCCACTCTGAGATACCTCGTGTGCTTAACAGACTGCACATTGGCTTCCGGTGGTGTCAGCCGCGCCGATGGCAGCATTTCTTTAGCTGCCCATTCTGGGATTGCATAAAAGCCGGAGGAGACACTGACAATCAGCTGTCCCGCAGCTTAAAACCTCTTCCCTGGGAAAAAGAGAAGAGGAGAGCTGCTTGGGTAAAGGAAGAGCTCCCCTGGATCCCCATAATTTTGGGGAGATTGGAGGGTAGAGCTCCCTTGGAGCCCAAGCTTTACTCCGCATTCCAGGACGCCTTTGTCCCAAATTTCTGGGACGAAGCTAGACGCCGCTTCCACATCTGTGTCTTTTAGTGAATTTCTGAGTATTTATAAGCAGACGGAGCAGACCAGGAGGATTTAGATTTATGATTATTTGGGACTTCAATTCCTGAAAAGTATCTTCTCCTTTTCCTTTTTTTTTTTGCCTACTTTCTCTTTTGAAGAAGAAAGGGAAAGTGATAGAAGGCAAGATGGCACCCGGCTTTCTTGTTTGAAGATTTTGTAACAAAGTTAAAAGACTGCTACGGTTTCTGTTTTAAACATAGAGGCAAGAATCTTGTGTTTTTTTTTCTTTTAATTTTAAACTGTGAATTTATAAGAATGGCTTCAAAACGTCTGGTCTCTTCGGTCCCTAAAGCTTCTATTTCCTCCCCAATGACTCAGACTGCCTCTCAGCCTAAACCAAAGACACCCCCTCTTTCTCCTCCACCTGTACTTTCTCTTAAAGATTTACAAGAAGCTTTGAAAAAAAATGCTTTAGATATTAAAGAGGAGGTAGCTGACCTTTTGGATTGTAAGATGACGTCAGAGAGGGCTATTATGGCAGAATTATTGGAGAAAAAAAACAGGGAAATAAAAGAGGATATATTGTTTGCATTTCAAGGACTTGCTATGCATATTGAGAGAATTGATGATAAAATGGAGGAAGTGACTGAAAATGCAGCAAAATTGGAAAGCAGAGTTGAAGAAGTGGAGAATAAGTTAGAAATGACAGAGGATGAATTAACTGTTTCACAGTATAGAGAAATGGAGTTTGCATTGCGTATCAGAGGATTGAAAGAAAACTTATAAGAAGATTTAAAGGGGCTTGTTGTTGAAGATATTGCGTTTAATTTGGGTTGGAGACCGGAGGAGGTTGGGAATGAGTTAGAAAAAATCTTCAGAGTTAACTCATGGGTTGCCAAACAAAGAAGTTTACCTAGAGATGTGGTCATCTATTTTTCTAGAAGATTTATTCGTAATGAAATTATACAGGCTTTTTATAAACAGAGGTTTCAAATTGCAGCCCAAGATGTTATAATTTTAAAAGAAATACCCCAAAAAATTTTAAGAAGAAGAAAAAACTTTACTTTCCTGTCTGATGAGTTAAAACGTCGTCAAATAGAGTTTAGATGGGAGATTCCAACTGGGATAGCAGTGTATTATGTTGGTATGCGTTACAGATTAACTACAGTGTCAAAGGCAAAAGATTTTTATTTCTCTGTTCTGAAGGCAAGTTCACCTTCATCTCCACAAACAAATAAAACTGAAAAAGAGTTAGCAGCTGCAGGAGCCTCTTCATTGATTGTTAAAGAACAAGGGGAACCTGCAGTACAGAATCTTGAGATAAAAGAACAGAGGATTACACGAGCTGCCTATAAGCGTAGAGAGAAAGAGCAACTACAGAAGACCAGTGGAAAAATAGAAGAAAATATCACCACAGAGCCTGTGGGAGGGGCAAGACCTAAAAGATCTTCGACAATGGATCTTCAGGGTATGCTTCAGAGGCTTCAGGCCGGTGGAGATGGCAAAGTTCCTGACCTGGAATGTTAATGGCTTGAATTCACCGCAGAAAAGGAAAAAAGTTTTTCATTATTTGAAACAGCACAACGACTTAATATGTCTGCAAGAGACTCATATAACTTTAAAAGATTCTAAATATTTGATAAACTCTTGCCTGGGATCACACTTTACGGCTCCAGCCCCAGGGAAAAAAGGGGGAGTGGTAATTTATGTGAAAAAGAATTTATCGGCTAAATTAATAGATTCTGACTCTCAAGGAAGATATGTTTTTATAGATTTAGTATTACAAGGCAAGAAAGTTCTTATCGTTGGATTATATGCCCCTAATCAACAACAGAAGCAATTCTATAAGTTTTTGCATAGTAAAATATCTCAGTTGGATTATAAATCTGTAATTTTGATGGGAGATTGGAATGGAGTTTTGGATTCAATGAAAGATAAAAAGAGTTCTTCTAAAACTTTTATTCAAACTAAACTACCCAAAGCTTTTTTTGATTTGAAAGATGAGTTGGAGCTTATTGACATTTGGCGA